CAGGCTTAGCCTCTAGTATTGTTCACATGTTTGGGGTGTTGCCGCCCCGACTGCATTATTTATGCTCGATGCTGTCCATAGGAAGGCTCTGTACAGCAAAGGACGACTCTTCTCCAACAGACAGTCTCGGAACCCTTCGCACCGGCGGACCGTCGGCGATCTAGCTTTCTTCTACCGCTACACCAACTGACTTTGCGCCTCAGTGCTCTCTTCCATTATGCCGCCGCGCGTTGTGCCTACCAGACAGACCCGATTGATTTTGGACTCCCCTTCTAACCGTGTCGAACTTCATACATCCACAACTGGCCGATACGACCGCTCCTTTGTCCCGAGGGTGTCGAGATTGTGGAACAATGTACAAGAGGAAGCTTTTCCCAGTTCTATTAACCTTAGTCAGTCCAAAGTCGGATTAGCAAAATTTCTTTAGGCTTCTGCCTGCGCGGCTGCTTTGGTATAAACAAAAATTTTTTCGCTACCCCAACAACATCGACAGCATGCACGAGAACATTTAGCACTAACAGCGATATTCATACCAGTGAACGAAATTGATTGAAAAACGACAGAGCCAGAAAGATTGTACATTGCTCATAATTTAATCTCCCTTTGAATCTTCGGTCAGTTCAGATTCACAATCACTAACGATTAATCAATATCCAGACGACATAGACATAACAAACTCAGAAACCACTTGTAATAGACATGCAAGTGACAGAGACAGTACTGACAATACGGATGAAGATTAATGGTTTGTTCGTAAGTCAGTAACTTGTCGGTGACTGTCAAAATCAGAATAAGAGAGATGTTACCCTGTTCGTACAGTTTCTGACTGTTTGGTGACAGCTAATCCGCTGTTCGTACAGAACCTTCTGACAGATCAGAGGACACCAGTCAACCAGTAACAGTGACAGCTATCAGAGTGTGTCAAAACTATCTTGAGGACTAAAATTGCTTCGCAAAAGGGCATTTAATGATCGATTACTCTTCTCTAATGGACGGTCTGGGGACACCTCCACACCGACGGGCCGTTGACGATCAAGCATCTTAACTGTGTTAACTTCGTACATCCAGAACTGGCCGATAAGACCGCTCCTTTGTTCCGAGGGTGTCAAGATCGTGCAACAATCTCCATTAGGAGCGATATACCAAGAAGATCTAATGGAGGAGAGAATGAAACCCAAAAACCTGAATTTTGTGGAGAAAACAGTGCCACAATTCAACAGCAACAAGCTTTTGTAACATCTTCGGGTGATCAAGTGGCAGAAGAAACATTTTGTTTATTGGCCCGGTAATGGCAAAATGAAGATTATGAATACAGTATGAAAAATCCGAACAATAGAGGACCTAACTTTCAAAAACCATAATTTGTGTATTTTTGTAATCACTAATCTTTTGAAAATCTTTGTTACAGTTGCAAAATGCGAAATTAGCGATTTAAGTCTTAATTCTATGTATTTTCGTAGTCTCACTTCTTTTTGTCTATGTTGAGAACTGTGAAATATATAGCTGTGTAAGCAGATCTTGATAATTTTATTGTAGTTATGTCCAGCCGTTTAGTTTTTTAGTGTATATCACCCTTTGTTATTCAAAGACGTTATTAAGTCCTTGTGGTATTTTTACTTCTTTCTTCTAGTGAGAGTTTGCATATACAAGGGAATTCAAACTCGGCACTCACCATTAGAATTTTGGAAACTGTAAGGAATCCGAAGTCGCTTAAATGGGGTAGTGAACGAAATGACACTTAGAAAGTTTAAAAATTCACAGTACTTCCGGAGAGTGACAGAAAAACTGGATTTTCCCAAAATTGTTTTGATTTTTTCCTGACTTTATTTATATTGGGATTGTGAAATAAATTGCACATTAACATTTGCACGTTTCCTCCTCTCAATGAGGCATAATCCGAATTTCTATATGATGGTTCTTCTCTTGCACTTCAACATCAACTTAAGGACAGATGAAGACAGATGAATAGAGCTTTTAATTTTGATTCAAAAAATGCAAAATACGTCACACATTAATAATTACTTCAAAAAAAAAAGAGAATTTCTTAAGTAGACCTAGAAATTATCAGATACATATTTGTTTCGCTCATCAGATTTATCCCAAAATCGCTTTATTTTTTTCCGGACTTTATTGAGAAGGGATTTCAAAATAAATAGCAGATTGTCATTGTAACTTATTCTCGTCCACAAGATGGCACAAATTTCTTCTTTCGACTTCCATCATCAACTTTGCTTTTTCATACAGACGCTATATTGGAATTTTGTACATTCAAATTGACTTTCCAGCCCTAAATTCAGTGATGTGTTTTGTTAGATGACCATAAATTTGTTGTTGGATGAAAATTATAAGGAAATAAAAAGATATGGTGAAATCGGAACACGAAATGAAAATTTTATTGATAGTAATAACAATAATAACCATAAATAAGCAGAGATCTTCACAGTCTTTCAAACTCTGATGCTATGCAAACAAATGGAATCTGATAATTTCAAGGCCTACCTATGAACTTCTGGAATAACTAAGAATCAGAATACAAATTCTATTCATATGTGAAAAAATCCAATATGGCGTCTATAAGAAAAATCAAGTTGATGCTTGAGGACAAGAGACGGAACGTCATATTGAAATTCTAATTGTACCGTCTTGTAGAGGAGAAAATGTGGCAGAGTTGATGTACAATTTATTTTGAAATCCCACCACAAATAAAGTCAGGAGAAAATTAAAACCATTTTGGGAAATTTCGTTTTTTACGTCTCTTTTAATTCCAAAACTTTCTAAGCGACATTTTGCTGATTATCTGAATTCGCAACTTTGCCCCTATTTAAGCGACTTCGTATCCCTTAAAGTTTCCGAGATTTCATTGGTGAGGGTCGAATTTTAAATACCCTGTATAGGGAAAATATTATTTTCACCACAGCAGAAAACAGTCGGCCACTCCCTCTCCGTGGGCATCCGTGAAAAAAGCTGTATCACAAAATCTCCAGAATTCGTTATTTTGTTTTTTTTTTCATCAGCTTTGGGCGGGACTTGCATAGCTAAAATATATAAATACTGTTTGTGCATACAGTTCGAGGCTGTGCGACAAGGGAACAGGGAACAAAAACACTACTATCCGAGTTTTATTAAAAGTTATTCACAATACTCTGTACATTCTCATGCATCACTGCAGACGTTTATTCGGAATTCTTACTATTTACTTCTTCAACTTGTCATTCGATGTGTGGAATCATATTTCTTCGAATTTATGATTATACTTATTAAATAAGAATTGAATGGGAATTGCTGAGTAAATCTACTTGACATTTTTGGGTGCTGTTATTTTCTAGAAAGTGTCCCCTCTAGAGGAGAATTCGAGCAGTTGGACGATAAATCCTCGATCATTCTGGTTTACAGCAAGTGGAAATACCACAACTCTTACGAAATTGTCTACTTCATTCTGAAAAATTCACGTTCGAATAATTATTGTACTTGATTTCGGGCTCTGAAAATTACTGGCCAATTATCTGCTTACTAATTTGACAGTCATCAAACAGTCAGAAGTTTCTGTACGAACAGCGGATTGAGGTTGATTCTCACTATACATTCCGTATCCATTCCTTAACCGTTCCGTAAATTATTGATATTAAATATTCGCCTTCGCTTAAAGCAGGCTATTGCATGTGTATGCACATTATCCGTAAGATATACTGTGTATACAATCACATTTTACGAAACGTTTACGAAACTGATATGGAATCGAAACGGAATGTATAGTGAGAATCAACCTTTAGTTGTCGGTAATCAGTCTTGACTCCCTCAGCCAACTCGTAACGTAATCCGTAAGATATACTGTGTATACAATCACATTTTACGAAACGTTTACGAAACTGATATGGAATGGAAACGGAATGTATAGTGAGAATCAACCTTTAGTTGTCGGTAATCAGTCTTGACTCCCTCAGCCAACTCGTAACGTAATCTATACAGTCAGCGACATATCAGTGACAGCTAACTGAGTAAACTAGGTCATGACTTGTCGCGACTATCAGTTTGCTGATTGTCACCAAACAGGCTGTACGAACAAACCATAAAGTGTTTTGAGTTACTAAACTAACTAATACATCTAAAGGATTAAGTTACTAAACTTTCTTTTACTTTTTTATATATACATTTAATGGATTATGTTGATGGTTGAAACTGCATTTAACCAATCCTATTGAGTATGTTATTTTCAGAATATCTTATTTCACTGTATCTGAAAAAAAAAAACATTTATAAAAAAAACGGAGACGTCAAGTTTTTTCATTTTGTTTTCAACATATCTAAATAAACGTTTTGTTTTTTTAAATTTACATCACTAGGTTCACTGTCCAGCGGATGCGTGTGAGTACAAGACTTCCGGCGCTGGTCGACAACAATAGTTTCGATCATGTGCGCCCGCAGGGGAAAAGGAGGGCCATCCATCGGCAAGAGATAACTTTTGTGAAAGCGTATCTGCCTCAAAAAATGTTTAAGATCGAGGAGTAGCTAGCGACATAGTTGTACCGAAACTATGCTAAAAATGCATTTTTTCACATAGGAGCTAACATGATCCTTTATGAACTGCGTTGCATACATAGGAAGTGCAACCTATTTGACATAATTTTTTTCTAGAAGTTGATTTTCACATTATTAGGGTATTCTAGTTTTCCAAATGGTACGACTTCGTTAAAAAATCCATCCGTAGATCGAGTCCAGCCCGAAAAGGTCTTTGTATAAACAACGGAACAAAGAAATGGCCGGGACTTATATACAAGAAAACAAAATATCACTCTTTAACGTAGAGAAAAGATTTTGCTACGTGGTATACATTTTTTAAATTGAAGAGGAGTATATTTCTATTTACTACATTTCCTCACTTCGACTGAGTAGAGATCTGCAACAAAATATATTCTCTATTATAAATAATAAAAAAAAGTATATAAAATTAAAACAAACGACTACAAGCGAGAACCGATGCATTACGTTTTTTCCTATTTTAGATGAAATCTCCAGGAGATAAGTTCTTTGTCACAACAGTGTTTGAGACATACCAAGCAGTTGGAGGTATCAAATGTAAAGGTTGTGCTTACCCTGGTTTGATCCCGAAGCCTACACTATGTGAGCTACCGCTAGAACCTGCTTTTGCGGAACCTTCAACGGAAAAATCGCAATGGAAATGAATCTTTTCACATGGTCTACTCTACAAGTAGATGATGTTGATAAGAAGGCTAAGGAAACAGCGCTGAAAACTTTTGCCGTAAGTAGTACATATGCAACGTCGTGATTTGAATATACCCCCCATTCCAATGAAATGATGAGATGTTATAAATCTAAATTCAGTTCCGCTTCGGCTGTCTTACAAGAAAGACGTACCTGTATCGGAGCGATCATATAATATAGTTAGCGAGGGTTACCGGGTTCTATATAGATTAATTAAATACATTTCCTAAATATGCCTCCACCTCCTACAGGGGTGGGAGGCCCCAGTGGTAGTGACACTAATGTGAACATTGCTGTGTATGATTTAACATTTAGTGAAGATTCTCCTCAGTGTGAAATAAATTCCAGCGTCAACTCGAGCGAATACAACGTTGCGATAACAGAGGACCGGCATACCATCTCGGAAAAAAAACAACAACAACAACCACGACTGTTTGAGATTGAAAACGCTAAGTATTACTCAAATAATAATATTTATGTGTTTATTGAGAAGACCAACAGCCAAAATATTGGCAGACTACATCCGCTTCACGTAGGACATATACTCCACAAAAACCTTAAATATGAATGATAAAATAACGACTATTAGCCGCGTCGGCTTAAATCGTATAAAAGTAGGTCTCAAAAATTTGAACGATGCTAATCACTTAGTTTGTAACACTGAACTCGCAGCAGAGAATCTAAAAGCATACATCCCAAATAATTTATTAATAAGAAAGGGTTTAATCAAGGGTGTTGATACTCAGTTTAGTGAGGAATATTTAAAAGAAATATATTTCTGATATAAAGCGTACTGGAGGTCAAGCGTCTAAAGAGAAAATTGTTAGTGATGGCACTCATCAGTTAGTTCCTAGGCAAATGGCAGTTGTCACATTTAATGGCAATATGCTTCCCAACGAACTTTATATAAACAGCGTGCTATTTCAAGTTGAGCCATTTGTACAAAGGGTAATACAATGCTATAAATGCTTGCGTTTTGGACATGTTTTCTGGACAGTGTCGCAGTACTACACTCCAGGTGTATTATATGTGGCCAAGTCAAAGAGGATGAACATACATGTAATGAAACTAATACTTACTGTCTTTTCTGTAAAACTCTTCGCACAGATCCACATCAAAAGATTGTCCTTCGTTTCAGAAGCAACAAAAAAATTAAAAAGACCATGGCCACATCAAATCTACCCTTCACAGAAGCCAAAGAATTTATAGAACACTCTTATTCAAACCATGTTTCAACCTCCAATAGATTCCAAGTATTGGAAAATATCACGAAGTAACCTTCCCACATCTCCCTAGCCGCCCTCAACAATTTCTCCTAGCAGGCAACATGTTCATCAGATGACAAACACTGGACCTTCCTCTACAGCATTTAGTGCAAATAAAAAACGTAAAGCTCAATCACCCCCCATAAATTTTCCGACAGAGAAACATTTTTTTTAGTGCAGGACCTCCTAATCCAGTAACTTCAAGTAGGATCTATCAGTCGAATATTTCAGAAAAAAAACGAAATGGTTGACATAGTTTCAAAAATTTTTTTTGAACTTGTAAACAAATCCAAAACTTAGGTGATCTTAAGAAAATCAGTAATAATACATTGAAAAACGAAATACATTGCATAATAGATAAGTTAATAAATTCCACTTAGCGTCTTCAATAATACCGATAATGTGCTAAAGGTGATGCAGTGGAATGCACGTTCCGCTGTATCCAATCGAAACAGTTTGAATATGTTCCTTTCAAAAAATGATATTGACGTAGCCCTAGTAAGCGAAACTTGGTTCAAGCCAAACGATACTATCGATATCATGGCTACAATATTGTGAGGAGGGACAGAATTGATGGCAAAGCTGGTGTAGCCATTTTGTGAAAAAAGGTATAAAATTTTGTGAAATATCATTTTCGAATAATTTTAATGATGATATACTTGTATGCGGGATAAATCTTATTAACCAAACATTTGATTTAACTTTGTTATCTATATACAGGCCCCCGAACATCAATTCAACAGCTGGTGATTGGGACACAATCTTCTCTAATACCAGCATATCTTCTATTATTGGTGGAGACTTTAATGCACACTCTCATCTCTGGGGATCCTCATTTAATAATTCCATAGGTTATCAGTTAATAAATATATGCGAATCAAAGAATTTAGTCGTTATGAACGATGGTTCGCCTACTAGGCTTGTAGCTCCAAATCAGCAAGTAACTGCTCCAGATGTTACAATCTGCTCCCGAGATATTGCACAAATAAGTCATTGGCAACTTACTTCTGATACATTAGGTTCGGACCATTTTCCTATTCTTATGTTTATTCCTCTATCTTTCCAAGTATATGACACAATCTATCCTAAGTATAAGTGGAATATGAAAAAAGCCAATTGGTTTTGTATCATGACTTATTGGAAGATATTTTCGATTCTACTCCAGAATTTTACTCCACTCAAAGTAAATACGATTATCTCATTGAAAAGATCAATGATGTTAGCGAGATCTCCATCCCTATACTAAGGCCATTTAAAGCTAAGAAACGGCCACCCCCCCTTGGTGGGATGAACAGTGTATAAGTGCCATAGCACAAAGGACCTCAGCTTTAGCAACGTACAAACAGGACAGTTCTTTAGCCAACTTCGTCCACTGCAAGAAGGTATTTGCTGAAACAAAGAAACTCTTCAAACAAAAATCAAAAAATAGCTGGAAAGCATGGATATCTAAGTTGAATAAAAATACGTCATCAACCGATCTCTGGAAACAGGCTAAAATCATCAGAAGGATACCCATGGGAAAGAAAGCATCAACTAATTCTGATTGGGCAGACGACTTCCATAGAAAATGCTCTCCGTCCTTCGTGGCTGCAGAAGTCGAACCTCCCCCACGTTTACATCAAGACAACTTTTTCAGCAGACCTTTCAACATGACGGAACTAAATCTTGCAGTTAAAAATACCAGAAACACATCACCTGGCTGCGATGATATCACATATCCAATGCTCGTGAACCTCCCATCTAATGCAAAACTATTCCTTCTGGATATATTTAACAACATTTGGCTGAATGCAGACACAATTAGCCAATGGAAAAACATCGTTATAGTTCCAATTTTGAAGCCAAACATGGATCCCAATTGCGCTGACTCATATCGCCCGATATCTCTTTTATCCTGCGTCATGAAGACTTTTGAAAGATTGATCAAAAATCGCCTGGAATGGTGGTTTAGATCTCATCCACTTCCTAACAACCAATATGCCTTCAAGAAAGGAGTTGGAACAGCAGACGCTATTACGAATATTGTCACCGACATTCAGATGTGTTTCACGCGAAACAACTACTTAGCAGGCATCTTCATAGACATTACAGGTGCATATGACAACATCAATTTAAACATACTTCGAAACAAACTGGAAAAATTTGGCATCCCACCTCACTTTAGTTTTACTGTAACAAACCTATACCGTGATAGGAATATTTTTCTACGCAACGACAGTGGCGGAAAGATTGGACCACGACTAGTACAGGAAGGTATCCCACAGGGCGCAGTTTTAAGCCCAATTTTATTCAATATCTTTTCGGCAGACTTACATGATGTGCAAACCCCATGTCAGCTGGTCCAGTATGCAGACGATATTTGTGTATATATAGAGAACCGTCAACTTAATCAATGTGTATCTACGCTAAATTCTTCAATGGAACACTACAAACAGTGGCTAATGGAACATGGTTTCGACATATCGTTGAAAAAATCATCCTTTTGCGTTTTCTCACGACACAATGTATCATTACAGAGGAACATACTACTGGGAGGGTTATCCTTCAAAGTTGAAACTTCTGTCAAATATCTCGGCGTAATCCTTGACAAAAAGCTCACATGGAAGCCGTATATCGAACAAGTAGTCAGTAGATGTGAGAAAGCCTTCAATTTTTTCCAGATGATCTGCAAGGTATGGTGGGGCTCCGATCAAAAGATCGCAATATTATTCTTCAGATCATATGTTAGATCTATCCTTGATTATGGCAGCATATTCTATGGCTCTGCCAGTAAAAATCTCCTTCATGTGCTAGATATAACTCAGAATAAATTTCTCAGGAAATGTCTTGGAGCAATGCAATCGTCACCAGTCGGACCTTTGCGAGCAGAAGCACAGGAGCCTCCTTTACATCTTCGAAGGCAAATGTTATCTAGCAGATTTCTACTTAAGGTACAACACGCGGACAGCCACTTACTCAAAATTCATCGTCTAAACACCATGGACTTGACATGCAAATATTGGACCAAAAGAAACTCCCGCCTCTATGCAGTGCCATACAATATGCCAACAGAATACAACTAACCTCTCATAGCCAACGATTGATCCAAGATATAAGTTACTTTCATTTACTATCAGGATTTGATGTTAGAGTACCAGCTTACAAGCAACAACCACACCACATTCAGAACCTACTTCGAGAAGTGCAGAGTAAATTAGCAGGTGATGTATTCATTTACACCGATGCATCGAAGTCGGTCAGGAACGGGATGCGCTCATTATATTCCTTCAATAGATATTTTTTCCATGTTTAAACTACCAAATGAATTCACGATTTTTTCTGCAGAAGCTATTGCTATATTCCAGCCCTACAGTTTGTAGAGGACCACAATCTTGGTAACACGTCTATATTCTCGGACTCCCTCTCTGTTGTCAGTAGTTTAAAAAACGGCAGTCCTTTCGATATGCAAAATATACACTTATTCAACATAAGATGGAAAATAAGTCAGCTAAAACAACGAGGCCTCAGGATTACACTAGTTTGGGTGAAGGCCCACTCTGGGATAATACACAACGAAAAAGCTGACGATCTAGCAAAGATGAGTATAACATCTGGAACTAAGCTGGACATACCCTTAAGCATGCAAGACAATCGAGTGATACTTAAAGGTAATTTGCTCAAGCGATGGCGCAGTGAATGGATAGAATACTGTTTTACTAATCCTACAAGATACAACCTCATACACCCTAGCCTGCCACGAGGATACTGGCACGAAAATTTCAAAATACCCAGAAAATATATTTCTTGCATCACCCGTGCGAAAATAGGACATGGTGTTTTTCCATCACACCTTGCAAGATTAAATTTGGTCCCATCTGCACTGTGCGATGTTTGTGAAGTTTATGGTGACTTGGATCACTGTTTCTTTGGTTGCGCTAAATTCCTGGATCACTGCAATGCACTCTACTCCGATTTGGTGAAATCTGGCATATCTGCCCCCCTAAATACATCTCATGTATTTTCGCTAGGTAGATCTGATGTGATCATTCTCGTTGTTAAATTTATCAGAAATTCTGGCATCAAAATATAACAATCGTATTTTAGTTATCCTCTGTTTTTTGTACCTTTATGTATAAATATATCCTTCATATCCGTGGCCTAATTGTTGTATGTGAAAAATGAAAAATGCCCTGACGGGTCCCTGGGCGAGAAGAACGTGTGTCCCTGTCTGACCCATCCTCTCTCCTCCCCTTAGAGTTGCATAGGTTTAATATGTAGTTATGGTGTCCTTTAGACACTAATGTCATCTGAAAATTTGTGTGTAATGCTTAACCCCCCCCCCCTGATAACACTTTCTTAGTTCTTCTATATTACTTTTTTGTTTTTCATCCAGAGTGGAGAGTGTGCATTAGAAGAAATTTAATAATCATTTTCTCCATACTGTTTGTTAAGTACTTGCTCCTTCGCCCAAATACGACTGTGCACCAAAATGTCTTTCCTGCAATACCCTGATAGCTGAGGGGATCTGCTTGCTACGTCATTGCCATTTTACACGTCTTAAATTTATATGTCTGTATGATATAATAGATAAATACTTGATTCTGGCTAATGGGGCAATGTCCTAGTGCCAAAAAAAAAAAAAAAAAAAAAAAAGGTCTATGAACTAAGTTGCTCTCTCAGCTCTCTGTATCACTGCAACCAATAATACATATTTGTGACGAGAAAAGTATCTCGTATCGTTCAGATATTCCTTCATAGATGGATCGCGCTTACAACGACCCAAGTGAGCAAACGTAGAACGACTGTTTGCACCCTAAAAACTACCTGGTATGAAAGTTGACATCTTATAGGTTTTTTCTGACGTTTTGTAGGTTTTTTACATGATACCCGTGCCGAAAACGAACACCAAAACAAATCTATACCGTAAATTCGCCAACAACTCAAACAAAAACAACAGAATGATTCACCGCCTGGCTTGGTCCGTAAATTGTCCTGGAACACGACACGCCACAAAATTATCATAATTACGTCAACAGGAACATAAAACCGTATGGAAAGATCTATCTCTAAGGGTAAGACGAAACTACCCGAATCATGTCAAAAAATGGGTGTGACGACACCAAATCGTTTGACCACCGCTGGAAATCACTAGTCAGTTACCCTCTGGCGGCGTAACATGTAGAGGACACTGGTGTAAAAACAGCTGATCCTTAAGTTAGTAGGGGGATGAAACTCATATTTTCGAATGGGAAACAAAGCACTGTTGCTGGTGCATAAGGCGTGTTCTTTTATTCCATCAATGATGAGTGCTAGATAACTCGGTGAGTTGTCGCGATGTCATCCTTGGATTTTGGATAGAACCTCGATTGAATTTAAGAACACGTTGGACAGATTTGAAATATGAGACTTATTTCGTTTGTGTTTGAAATCCTAACCTATAACTGCCAACTTGACAGACTGAAGGAGATTCTTCTTTCTTCTGAAAATCAAATTCTGTATTGTGTTTTGTATGTATGTATTTTTGTGGAACATGGAAAGTTTAATAGTTTTGGTGTTGATACCAGACTTCTGAATCAAGCTCTGCCCCGTTGTGAATCTCTGACCACTGCAAGATATATAATCATCATCATACTCCTAATGTCTTATTAATCAGACTCCATCAGTGAGGCGAAGTTTCGCCCACTGGCTACTCTTACACTTACCTCTGTGTACGAAAGGTACCTCGATACACAAACCCAAAGTAATATAAGAAAAGAAACAAATGCACACTATTAATATCCCCAGCTGTTTCTTAACGAGTCTCCTGAAAGGCACTATTGTTTTACTGCGACATATTTTATCTGTAGAGTTGTATAACTTGACAGCATGAAATGTGAAGCTTTTCTGGAAAAGGGCCGTATAGTGGACTGGCATCGCAAAATTTAGGTTGTGTCTGAGATTTCTTGATTAATGTTACCTCTTGTACTAGCTTTTAAAATGTACGGTGGTTTTTTGGTGCAAACTACTTTATGGACAAACACCTTCATAGCATAAACAAACTGTGATTCCATCTTTAACCAATTTAAATCTTTAATCTTCGAAGAGACATGACTATATTTACGAAGTCCAAACACAAACCTGCAGCAGCAGCTTTTGAATTTTTTGTAGTCTATACCGATCCGACGAATCCAAATAAGAATAGAATAAAAATCAGAGAATGTTGCAAGATGACAGGATCAAGCTTTCAACTAATTTTTTCCTAGTCTTAAAGTTTAAAATGAAACGGTTGGAATATAAAAGTTTTAATTTGGCATATGTTTTTTGAGACAGGTAACCGATGTGCCTATCAAACTTCAAGTTAGAGTCCAAGATAACACCCAGGTTTTTAGAATGTTCTACCATGGGGATGCGCTCGTTATTTATAATGAGTACAATTGCGTCCTTTATGTTATTGTGTTTCGGAGAAAAAAGCATACTTGAACTCTTTTCAGGATTGATCCTGAGACAGTGCTTTTTACAAAAATCCGTAATATTGATTAGGTCAGTATTAATTTTAAACGACACTTCATTTAACTGGCGCATATGTGAAGTGAAATGATAATTGTGTGTCATCAGCATACGTTTGTATAGAACAAAATTTCACACATGAATCTAAGTCTATAGTGTAAATTAAATATAGCAGGGGTCCCAGAACTGACCCCTGCGGAACGCCAGACGAAATATACTATACTACATAATATACATTATGAATAAGATAGAAAATGGAATCCATCCAGTGTCCAGGTATTGTGGATGTAGTTCTACATTCTTTATCGACGAATTTAAGAGTCATTTTAGAATTTCTCGGGGATCAGTAGAGTAGTTACATACCAGAAAGATTTTCTCTGAGACTAAACTTTTTATATTTTATTTTAGCAATTACTACAAAATATCAGAACTGGATATTTAAAAAGTGGACCAGGAAGAAGCCCTATCCATATAGAGAAAGCCTTACTTATGACAATCTGGACACTGAGTAATCAAGAATGCGATGTATAACATCTTAAGATTACTCTATTTAAGCCTTAATTATTGTATATATTAGTTAGTCGATTGCTATTTATTGTTATATCTTTTTTTGTATGTGTTTCTGCGCTGTGAGGTTAAGTGGTAGAGTAGCCAGCTGGATAAACTTCGCCTCGCAGTGTGGATGGATTTCTAAAGACATTATTATTATATTTGCTTTGTGAGAAAAGGTGAGATAATTTGTATATGAATGATTGACCATAAAATGACTATAATTATTTCTTTAATTTTAATTCCTCCCTTCGCATCCCCTGGAAAGATTTTCCACAACCCATTTTACGTAATAAAAACACTCCGAATGGTTTAATTTCTGCTATATTAGTCATTAATACGTGACGCGCGACTAATCCCATCATTGGAGAAAGACACTGTGTCGAAATGTGCGTCATGTATTAATGACTAAGAAAGTGGAAATTAACCCATTTGGAGTGTTTTTGTTACGTAAGACGATTTATTATTAACAGAATGTAAAAAGCCCATTAGGTTTGTTCTATTAAGTTGGAAAGGCCCATTATTCAGCACTGGTGTGAGACCAATCCACCAGAGGTCGCAGAAACGGTAACTTATTTTAGTATTGAAGTTTCCCATCTCTAGAAGGGTTTATCTCTGCTTGAAAACCACTTGTCTTGACGTGTGGAATTCTACGGAAAAAAGCTTTCTAACCTCACTTTGCAAATGCTTTGCTGTATGTATATAACCTGACTGCGTCTTCTTCCGAATATTGGCTTTAAATTTGGATCAATCATGAGAGTCAGACAAGAACATTGGAACTTGCTACTCGATATTTGCGAAAAAAAACCGTGAGGTGATCAGTAATAAATTTAATGGACCTGATGGCAAAGCAAAGGGGCATGAACTGTGGCAAAACAGTACCCATCAACTGAATAGTTTGGGATTTGGCGTAAAAAAAAAGAAGATTGGAGAAGGGTAAAAGCTTTAATCAACAATATTTAATTTTGCAGTTAATGTATGTATTTAATAGGCTTTGATTGACTGGAAATGTAAAACTAAAGCTAAGGCATCAAAAATCAAACAAGAAATTGTGAAAACTGGTGGAGGACCAGCAAATTATGTACCTCTCTCTGATGCAGAAAAGCGGCTCCTCAGCCTTATGGGAACAAAGTCTGTTCAAGGAGATGATGTATGTGAAATGGGCTTTGGACAGGTGAGTACTTCATAATGCTACATTAACAAAGATTTTATGAAGATAAGTTTTGAAACATAGGATATACTATAGAGATAAAGCTTTGAAAATACTGTATTTCATTATAGGTGACCACAACATCTAATACAACAGATATCTTTAACTCAACAATGGAAGCATCAAGCTGCAATGTGATAAATCAAGAAAATAGGCAAAATTATAACATCAAAATATTACCTGATCACAATTATACTCCAACTAATACAAAAACTCCCTCAAGAAAACATCAAAGAACAGCATATCAGAGAACTTACCAAAGAAATTCAAACAGATTAACAACAATTACTGAAGAATCACTCCAGGTCCTCAAAAAAATAGAAAGTAATACCCAAAGTATTGCAGAGTCATTGAAAATACTTGCTGCTGTTGCACAAACAGCATTTTCAAAAGACAGTTGAGTATATTTTTATTGGTTGACTTGCTTTCACTACATTTTTGTAATATCAAACTAGGCCATATAATCCTCATGAAAATTTATAATAAAAAGTCTAAAACATATTTTGTATTCATTTATTATCAATTAAATCAAGACAATTCTCTACAAGAAAGTTGAAAAATCTAAGATTAAAGGAAAATCTTGTCTTATGCCACTCAAACCAGTGAAAATATTAATCAAATCCAAGAGAATAACCAAAATTTGTGTTATGTGCCGCGGTTATAATATGGTTCAAGATGACACACGGGTTGATGACGTCAGTTACACGAATCGCTTGAACGCGTTGGTTTTAACCGCGGTTTTGTTGAAAGTTATTTATTTTAGAAAAGCGCGTATATAATCTCTGATTATTTTTATTATCACTTAATAATCGGTGCTTTTTCGTCTACAACTGTATATGGAAAGTTTAAATAAGAAACCTTTCCTAATATTCATGGGAGAAATGTTTTTTTCAGATTTTTGTTTAATGATGGAACCATGGCTTTGTAGCTATGATAACTTTCAATTCTCTAAATTTTTCCGCATGTCAAAGAAAACATTTATTGATTCAGCAGAAATGATATGAAAAAAGAAATTTGCAGTATATGTTTTTCTTCTGAACCTTTTCAGATTAGTAAGTAGATATGAGTGATTGTGTTATTGACTTTGCTATTTTAACATACAAAAAAGCGATAAATAGCGCAACATGTTAATAACACATGCTGTTATAAGATTTCCCATATCCCACCAAATTTCTATATATACATATATATATACAGGGTGACTTCGAAGTTGAGTCATTAATTTTCAGATAATGATTGTAGAAGGAAGATAAACCAAAATATGTGTGTAAAAATAAAAAAAAATGTTACCTTGTTTTATGAAGTATCCTCCCGACAAGTATCAGTGCGGACCTGTATTTGATCGTGCGGTCTTGGAGCACCGGCATGCCCTCCCCCGTGAGGTCTTAAGTCACCTGATTCACGAGCCCTTGGTACTACATTAACAAAGGCACGAGGGGTTGGTTGCACTCGATTGGGAAACCGATCCGCATAAATCCGTGATGCCGCGGCATCAGCATTTTGTAAAGACTCCCCCCCCCCGTAAATAAGAATCATGTCCACAAGTTCAGCATTTTCGTAAACATTTGCCATTTTTATTTCGTTTGAGCCACGCAGCAAACACCACTATTCACTCACGCGACTGACACATTGACTGAATTCAGCTGAATAAAATTGTTGTAAAAACATCGTGATAAGCGTTTCAAATTCTTTCGCTTTTTTGTTTCCGATGCGATGAACCGATAAGGCGGATTATATCCGTTGTTGCCAAACACGAGCACATGATATATTATTGAGACAGGGCGGTACTCAAACTTCTAAAGGGCTATTACTTTGTTACTTTAATTTTACCACACAAATGTTAAAGGAAAAAACATTTCTTTTGATCAGATCTACCACTGTTAAAATAAATGACTCAACTTCGAAGTTGTATATATATATACAGGGTGACTTTGAAGTTGAGTCATTAATTTTCAGATAATGATTGTAGAAGGAAGATAAACCAGAATATGTGTGTAAAATAAAAAAAAAAAAAAAAAAAATTTTACCTTGTTTTATAAAGTATCCTCCCGACAAGTATTTCAGTGCGGACCTGTATTTGATCGTAAGGTCCCCTGTGAGGTCTTAAGTCACCTGATTCACGAGCCCGTTGTACTACATTAACAAAGGCACGAGGGGTTGGTTGCACTCGATTGGGAAACCGATCCGCATAAACATGTGCCATTTTTTATTTCGTTTGAGCCACGCAACAGAGACTATTCACACGCTAACCGACTGACACAGACTGTATGTATAACTGTACTGAATAAAATAATTTATTGTAAAACATCGTTCCAAATTCTTTCGCTTTTTTGTTTCCGATGCGATGAACCGGTAAGACGGATTATATCCGTTGTTGCCAAACACGAGCACATGATTTATTATTGAGACAGGGCGGTACTCAAACTTCCAAAGGGCTATAACTTTGTTACTTTAATTTTACCAGAAAAATGGTAAAGGAAAAAAATTTCTTTGATCAGATCTACTCACTGTTATAATAAATGACTCAACTTCGAAGTCACCCTGT